TGCCTGTAGTGATATAAATTCAAAACCACTTTATTTTTATCTTAGCTCTAGCTTCACACAGAATTTCCTACATGTTCTGGAACATTATTGTGGTCTCTGATGGAAGAATCACTCTTCTCCTATTTCCATTCTTCCTTTTTCCCATTTTTCTACATTTTTCTAAAATATAGCTTAGATGTCTTACTTCAATTTTTAACATACAAGAGACTTTTTTTTTTAAATGAAGAGAAATTAAGGGTAGATACATGTTCTCACTTTAATGTGGAATCTAAAACAATTGAACTCATAGAAGTAAAGAGTAGAATGGTGGTTACCAGAGGCTGAGGGGACTGGGGAGATGCTGGTCAAAGGGTATAAGGTTCTCGACAGGAAGAACATGTTTTTTGAGATCTATTATATCTCATGGTGACTATAATTAACAATAATATATTGTACTTTCAAAATTGGTAAGACAGTAAATTTCAGATGTTCTTACCACAAAAATGATTAAGTATTTGAAGTGATGGATTTTTTTTTTTTTTTTTGGTGGAATCTTGCTTTGTTTCCCAGGCTAGATTGCAATGGTGCAATCATGGCTTGTTGTAATCATGGCTCACTGCAGCCTCGACCTCCTGGGCTCAGGTGATCCTCCTACCGTAGCCTTCTGAGTAGCTGGTACTACAGGCTCACACCCCATACCCAGCAAATATATATTATATATTATTTATTTTTGTTTTTAGACAGAGTCTTGCTTTGTCACCCAGGCTGGAGTGCAGTGGCGCAATCTCAGCTCACTGCAAACTTTGCCTCCCAGGTTCAAGCAATTCTCCTGCCTCAGCCTCCTGAGTAGCTGGGACTATAGGTGTGCACCACCACACTTGCCTAATTTTTTTGTATTTTCAGTAGAGATGAGGTTGCATCATATTGGCTAGGCTGGTTTCAAACTCCTAACCTCAAGTGATCTGCCTGCCTTGGCCTCCCAAATTGCTGGGATTACAGGCATGAGTCACTGCGCCTGGCCAAATTTTGTTTATTTTTTATAGACATGAGGTCTCACTATGTTGCCTAGGCTGGTCTCAAATTCCTGACCTCAAGTGATCCGCCCACCTTGGCCTCCCAAAGTACTGGGATTACAGGTGTGAGCCACTGTACCTGGCCTGATGGACATGTTAATTAGCTTGATTTAATTATTCCACATTGTATACATATATCATGACATCCCTTCATACCCTATAAATATATATAATTATAATTTATCAATTTATAATAAAATAAATTAAGAGTAGAAAACACTAAAAGAGGGGGAACAGTCCATAACTAGGTTAGGTCACAAAATTCCTACCTTAAGGTTGGTTACATTTTCTTTTTTTTTTTCTTTTTGTTTTTGGAGATGGGGTTTTACTCTTGTTAGTAGAGACGGGGTTTCACCATGTTGGCCAGGCTGGTCTTGAAGACTGACCTCAGGTGATCTGCCTGCTTTGGCCTCCCAAAGTTTACAGGCATGAGCCACCATGCCTGGCCAAGTTTGGTTACATTTTCCAGAAGACCAACAATAAATTGTCTGAGGCCCAGATCCTAGGCAATACCCAAGGGCACTATATGTCAGCTTTGGGTGACAAATCGGACTTCATTTACATCTCCTACACTGATTTATTGCAAAACTTGCACACTTAGGGTACTCAGAATCTTTAGCAAAAGGCACTTTGTTAATTTCCAGAAGGCTTTCTATTATTTTAAAGTTTAACACCCTACATCTATCATCGCTTCTAAGGTTCTGCGGGAGCTATGGGACCTAAAAGACAGGCATTTTGTCATTTCTTTAAAACTCAGAGCAGCTCACCATCTGCTCCCCTTCAGACTGAATCCCATGGGATGAATTCAACAAATGCAGAGCAACTTCTGGGGTCTGTTCATGGGCCTCAGTCCGCACAGAAAGATGCAGCTTGGGAGAGTTAAGAGGCTTTGGTTACTCAGCCTGGATTTTGATTCTAAACCATTTTATGAGGAGAAGAAACAATAACACAAAACCAAAAAACAAACAAAAAATAAATAAAATTTTATGAGGAGGATAAGTAAAAAGTTAGGTGTGTGAAGGCAAGAAATGAGCTA